GGTTTTTTTGGTAATTTTCTCTAAAATCATTCTAACTAGTAAAATCCTTATAAATTCACTAGTTACGACAATATTTAGATTTTAATGAAAAACCTATTAAAAATTGAATTTAGGATGCCTAAATTTTAATGAAATCAATTAAAATCTAAATTGATCACACCTTTCTTATTGTTATTTAAGTATTTTATTTATATTTAATATCTATTATTAATAATCCTCGATTTGACAAATTTATAAATGATTAATAAAGTGAAATAGTAAAATAATAAGAACAAAAAGTTCCACAAAATGTGTGGATAATAATGAGTATTGAATATTACGTGTAATTAAAATTAATATTTAACTTTTGACTAATTTTATAAATCATCTATAAATTTGTATCTAAATTGAAGCTGAATTAAGCTCCCTGAGGGGATGTCCGCGATGGGTCAAAGAAAGGGGCAAGGACACGAAATGGAGCCCTCTGCTTGAACCTATCCTTTGGCCATTCCTATTTGGGAAGTCAATCTCATAGATAAATAAGTTGGGGAATCAAAATCTCAATTTTGAAGGTTGCGAGCGATTTTCACACTCCATGAAAGGTTAAAAAACTCGATTCTAATTTCCCACTTGCCATTTCCCCAATAAATTTTTGACACAATGACACGTCACCTTTTGCTAGCAAATGAAAGATATATATACAATTTATAATTCCGAGCTGCAAGAATATCGAGCTATCCAGACTACTTGAAACTAAACTTACGAGTGCATACCAAAACTATGCTGCATGTTCAACGGCCTCCATAGACACAGCTTGAAGTTCTTCTTCAATTAAATCGTTGAAATTCTCCCTATTTTTAATATTACAAGGAATCATGGTTTAAAAGAAATGACAATGGGTCATTGAAATCTTTTACAAATTACAGAGAAATACTGGTAAAAATCTACATGTGGAAGAAATCGAGCTTATAATAAACCACACAACAGTAGTAACAAAATATTAAAAAGGAAGACGATCTGCAGATTCTGTACACTAACAAATTGCAACTCATGCAAGGATCAAAGTGACATTTTACCCCTTAAATCGGACGACAATGACGGATATGTCGTCTTTACTTTCTCGATTCAAAGCTTCCGTTGATAGCTGTTTGGCTGCCTTCTGTGGGTCGTTGATCGTCGTCACAAGATCAACTGCCTCTTGATTGGACATTACCTGGAGGATCCGCAAGGAATGGAAGGGTGGAAAAAGAAAAGTTGAGTCATGAACTAATAAAATGGAAAGACACATGGAGACGGGGTTGTCACCTTCCATAAACCATCGCTAGCAAGGATCAGGAAATCAGAATCCTCGTCAATATCAGCATCGGTAATATCAGGATCGGACCGCAAGTGAGGTTTAAGGTTCTTGTCTCCAAAAGCACGAGAAACAGCCAATTGTCCATCCACTCGTGCAACGTCTCCTGGTATAGAAATACATTAGAAGAGATTTAATGAATTGAATACAGCAAACCATTAAAAACTATGTTATATTTCTGTAAAAAGATATGCTCTATATCAAAATAACGACATTGATTTTTCAAGAATTATAGAAAAAATTTCAAATTGAAATACAATACAATGTGATAATCTTAAGTCAAAAATATTAACAAAGGTATCATAAATTGTCCCAAATAACAATCAGTCCTTATAATTTCCACTATGATTCAACTATTGTCACATTCTCCTAACAAGAACACTTCTGCACAAATGGCTTTTATTGACTTCGAGTTCAGATCATAATATAAGCTATTGAAGTTTTTAACTCCAAGAATAAAGAGGCATATCCACATGCCTCAAATAAAATTATAAGTAGAATGTGTTGTCAAATAAAACATAAGTAGAACGTGTTGTCATCTGACTACTGAGTTACGATATGCAATGGGTTGCACTTACACCTATTTCATCCGTCTGATTCTGATACATACAGGAAGGGTTGAGGATGGTGGTCACAACCTTCGAAGGTTGGGGACCTTTCACACAATGAAAAGGTTAGGGAACCCCGCTGCAATTTTGTCTTATTTTATTTTATTTATTTTAACTAGAAATAAGGGCATAACAGTCTTTTAAGCAAAAAATTAACTTCTCAACTGTCGAATGAAAGAATCCTAGTAAGGACAAACAATGCTGCAAAAATGATCCAATAGGGATGACGCAGGATGGGGATGAAGTTGCAACAAGGTCCATCAGTTGGGAACTAATAGTACAATTCTCCCAAAGCACTACATTGGAGTCATAAGACTAATCGATAATCAAACTTGCATCAAAGATTCAAGCATAATTACCAGATGCACCAGATAAATAGCAGCTAGTTATAACAAGTACAATACCGCTTCTTAAAATTAAACTTTTAGGATTAAAAATACCTGGCATGTTTGAGACAAATCCACCTCTGTTTTCAATGCTTCCTCGCTCTGTGTTCGGCTCATGATCAATGGATAATTGTATAGCCTGCCCGTTCCTGGAAAGGACAGCTCGTGAATCTCCAACGTTAGCTACCCACAGATGTCGACAATTTATGAGAATTGCCGTCACAGCAGTTGATCCACCTCGTCCCAAGTCAGGATTGTGCGATAGAATTGCCTCATCAGTTCTCTCATAGGCTTTAGCAATAGACCTATTTGGATTGGTCCAAAAGTCCTCCTGTATAACATCGGTCGGAGGAGAAACCCATCAATGCCTAATATATAACTTTCAAAAGACGCATCACTATCTTTAAGTTGATAAAGTAGTTTCTAAGTTCATGTCATATATATCGGGTCTGTTTGGCACAACTATTGAAAAGTCAAAAGGAGCTTTTAAGATTCAAAAGTTATTTTTAGACCCGTTTAGCTAATTTTATGAAAGTGCTTTTTCCGATTAGAAGAGCTTTTAGAGGAAACTGGTCAATATGACTTCCTTTAAAAGCAATTCAGAAATAAGAAACTTTTTTAAAAATTAGTTTCCAAATGAAAATTAAGGTAGCTTCCACAAAAAACTAGAAGAAGTGAAAGCAAAAGCAAAAGCAAAAATCATTTCAAATAGGAGTTACAGGACCATAATAATCCAAACAACTTTGAGAGAGAGAGCTCGCCGAAATAACAAGAACATATTACTCTATGTGAAACGTACGCAAAAGATGAAACTCATGTTTTAGCACAACAGAGTTGACCATCCATACAAAGGGCAAGCATGTATTAGATACGTGTTTAAAAGATTTAATGATTAATCCCCAATAAGAGTTTGTTTGGCTAAGCATAAGAACAATTTTTCTCCGAAACATGTTAGGATAATTTGTATTGATCTAAAACTCGAATTTTGAAAACCTTAATCCTTCTAAGTAATGCAAAAGTTAATTATGATATAGTGGCGCCTCTGATGGCATTTTATAGTGTGAATTGAGAAGATGGTACTCTCGGCAATGCTTTGGTGGTGATAAGTGACACATGAGAAGAAAGAAAAAACAAGGTAGACGGTGAAAGGACAGAGAGATTTGAATCTGGTTATTATCAAATCAACTCAATGCAAGATGACAATAAATCATAGAGAATGAGTCCGACCATTTAAAAATGGATACGACCCTCCAGCATATAATGTGGGTCCAATGCACAAGGCTAAAACTAATAGTTACTAAAAATTAATAGATGCGCCTCAGAATATTTTCCGGTAGTGATATATAATTATTCTTGAAGTTCCACTCATATCAACTTCTTATGGTCAAATTTATGCGTAAAATTTTCAGCTATTCTAATACTCTCTCCACCCTACAACAAATTCCCACTCTCTCCTTTTGGGGATATCCCAATTAAAATGTCACCTATCCGTTTAAAGGTAAAAAAAAAATATTCTGTACCATGAACCAAGATTCGAGCAACATTCGTAAATAATTATTTAAATAACATTTTTAACAAAAAGAACCAAAGAGAAACTTTGAAAGCTCATATGATCAAATATAGGATATTATACCATTTATACATTGATTATTTAAAAATCGTGCTAGTCTCAATATATAAAACACACAATACAAAGTTGTCAATCCCATGATAATTCATTCAAAGAAACAAACCTCCTTTAAGATATTGGAAAACAGATGCCTCTGTAAGTAAGCTGGCACAGTATCTCCCAAATGCCCATCATAAATAGCAAATAATCCTAGTTCGCGACCGTTTAGCTGTACAAACTTAGCAACATGAAAATCCTCCATAGGATGATTTGCTTTTCCTTTTACTAAACTGAACCCATACTTTACAGGCCCCTGATGGCTTCTTCCCTTGCCGGAACCACTTGAAGAACGTCCTCCTGCAAGCTAAAGGAAAAAAAAAGAGGAACCTAAAAAATTACTATTTCAAAACTCATTTTCCCCCCCGGGGGGGGAGGGGGCCCCCCCCCCCCGGGGGGGGGGGGGGGGGGGGGGGGGGGAACCCTCACGTTAATGGTTGTCAAACAGGGGCTAAACCCTCAACAATTTTGCCGAACCCGAGGAAATGATCAAATGAAATTCTTTCTTGTCAAAAGAATATGCCAATTTGCAGAAAAATAACTCAACCATACTTCACAATTTATCTAAAAATAAATAAATAAATAGAAGAATTCCATTTTCATAAACCCCAATTGAATTAAACCAGAATATAGACAAATTACAAATATCATCTCCAATTTCATGGGATCACCAGCCTTCTTATGACCGAATTAAGACACGCAAAATGATAACACAAAGCAGAAAAATAATGAAAACAAATCCTCACCTGGAAACAGCATAAATTATCCATATAATTCAGATGTTCCACCTCTCCAATTCAACATCTACTATAAACTTCCTAAAATTGAAAATCCAAAACCTGTAAAATCAAAGAAAATGAATCTTGATCATCATGGACCGAAAACCCACCAAGAAAAACACAATCAAAATTAAATTCCTTAAAGAACCAAGATTTTTTGAACAAAAATCGAAACTTGGGTATCCGAGAATTTCCACACTTACCGATCCACCACTCTTCAGGTCAAGAATTCACTATCTTGCCCACTTAATTTCTATACAAACTAGTTCGGCATATGCAAACAAAATCGAAGTGTAAAAAGATCAAAAAAAGCAAAATATAAAATCAAGAACGGTAGCAGGACAGGAATTGCTGCCAAAAGGACAATCTTCCCCTTGTTGACTTTCTTTCTTTATTATTGTTCGGAGCGTTATGCCATGTAATGTGTCAGAAGCCCTGTTTGTTTGTGCGATTTTGTTTATTACAGCTGTGTTTCTTGTTTTAAGGTGTCAGGTTTCTTACAAGTCGGGAAAAAAAAAAAAAAAAGGCTTCACACTGGTCAAATGTACTGATTTTGCTTTGGGGATGGGGTTCTTAGGTGGCGTTGATTTTGGGTCAGCAATTACAGAATTTTTCAATCCCGAAGAAACGGCCTTTGATTTTTCTTTATTCTTTTCCATTTCTTTCTCCTTTTTCCCAAGGTATAAAAAGAATAATGCTCCTTGGATTGGATCAACAACAATGATGAAGGTAATAGGACGGTGTGACGGATAGTAATTGAGCGTTGTGTTTTTGTTTTCAAATTATCCAATTATGTATTGATACGTGTCTCTCTGTCATTGATTATGTCAATGTGGTAAGATTAATGTAAAATTTTTTCAAAAAGGGCTAATATCATATTGAAGAGACATTTTAAACATGAGATTTTTTCTATTTTAAAGAGTCAATTCTTAGAGGATTATGTTATTTGTATATAAAAATGGTAAATAAGAGATTATAAAAAATGATGTGGACGAAAAAGTTTGAATGAAAAAAGTTGATTGTGTTTTTAAACTGACAATTGATAGAGTGACAAGCGACATTAAATAACTCATTATGTAAGGTCTGATGTGCATTTAGTAATGTCCATTTTTAAAATCATATTTCAATAGACTTTTTAAATTAAGATTTTAATTTAGAAAGTGGGGCCAAATTTCATTCTCTATAATTAAATGCATTCAAAGTATTTCAATTTTCAATGTAGAAAAATAATAAAATAATCTAGAGAAAAACTAGTTAAAATAAAATATAAGCGATAAATATAAAGAACTTGTTAGATTACTCCAAAACTTTAACTCTCTAAATTTATATATACTCACCAAATTATAGAATATACACTTTAGGACTTATTTGAGCCCCATTAAATTGGAAAAATGCATTTTCGAATAGTAGATTGATGGAAAAAGTGTGGTTAAAAAATAAGAAAAGATTTTATATTTGCGTGTAATATTATTTTTATTGAAAAATGTATGATTGAAAAGAAAAGAGAGAGAAATCTATTTTGAAAAAAATTGAAATCAAAAAAGGTTTTAAAAATAGAGAATCTCTTGAAAATATTCTAAAATGAGCAAAAGATTTTAAGTACAGGGACATTTTTAAGAGGCTCTTTAAACATAAAATAAGTATTTTAAAGAATTGATCCTCAAGATTATGTTCCAAGGGGCTTTTTAAATTAATATTTTAAAATAGAGAGTGAGTTTGACTTTTCAATCCAAAAAGGGCTAAAACGAGCAAAAGATTTTAAGCCCAATTTGACAACCTATAAAAAGAGTTTTTTGGAAAAATGATTTTTAAAATAGTGGTTTTTTAAGAATGTATAGTTTAAAAAAAAAAATTACGTACGAAATATTTTATTGTAAGAATATGTGATTAAAAATGAATCTGAGAAAAAAAATAGTTTTGTAAAAATAGTTGGAAAAATGAATTTAAGAGTCTGTTTGGGAGTGATTTTTTTCAAAAAAAATTAATTTTTTGACCTTTATTTCACTATTTCAGCTGTCATATTTGACTTTTTCTCTCATAAGTGAACCCCACTTTTCTCCTAACGGTCAAAAAATCAATTCTCAAAATCACTCTCAAACAAGCTCTAAGTATTAGTAGTTATTTTTAAAGTGTTAAACTAAATCCATGTTTGACTCACATTATCTGAAAACTCATTTTTCTCAAAATTCAATTTCAATCACACATTTTCTCAATAAAATATTTTGTACGTAAATTTTAAAAAAATATATAATTTTAATCACACATTCTCAAAAAAATTCCCTATTTTAAAACTCATTTTAACAAAAAAATGAGCTCAAACATATCTAGGTCATTTATATTATAATAATAAAAGTTTAAAAGACACAAATTTGCTTTTATATTTATACGTGTGCAGATTTGCATTAACGGTGACAAGACCAGAAGTTCACTTTTTTTTTTTTTTTTTTTTGGGGTACNNNGACCGAAAATTTTTTTTTTTTTTTTTTTTTTTTTGGGGTACTGTGTTAGTATTATTCAGACCATTTGGAAGAGGAAAAAACTAAGAAAGAAATAGTTCTTGAGCAATTGATATAGCAAAAGTTGACAAAAATTGTAAATTCTATAAAATGCATAGTTAAAAATTAAATTTTAAAAAATTGTGACCAAACAGGATTGTAGAGTGAGAGTAAAAGATGTTATTGTCTCAAAAGATAAAATGGGATCAAAAGACATGTTTATAATTTCTAGAAATGAAATTAGTTATTATTGATTTTCAATCCCGTCTTATTTGGATTCTAACATGCTATGTCACCCGAACTAAATGATGAAATTGCAACTATAGAAAGTTTCAAAGATTCTTTGATTAGTGATATTTCAAATAAATTTTCGAAAAATTCCAAATGATTTCCTTCTTCTCTGTCAAAAAAGGCAAGGTTTCAACTGTTTGTTGGTTTTATTTAATCCATTAGCAGACATGATATAGGAAGACTATTAGGTAGATGTATTTATTTGAATTAAGTCAATAATGCATCATTAAACTTGTACAACCCTTCTACATGTACAGAAGGATTTTTGTCAGAATACATACAGAAAACTCACAGTTCTGAGTCCCATACACATTTTTGGCATTTTTATACAACATGGGGCCCACACACTTGTCTTTACTTTGTACATAATCTGTAATTTTTACACCCAGATTTTTCAAACTTGTAACCGGCCCAACTTTTCTTTTTAAGAATTAAAGAATTCAAGTTTGAAAATTAATTTTTATGATAATAAGAAAAGTTTGGTCAAACTTATTGCATTTACTAGTTTGCATCAATTTATTCATTTATTTATGGCTTGTTTCATAAACAGATCAAATAATATATTGGACATTAAAGGGGTTTTGGGTGGGAGGGAGACCACCGGAAGACTTATTCGTTTAGATAGAGATAACAGAGTTACACATCAAAAATATTGAACTCAGTATCCTCAAGGCGTTCACTAAATGCATTTAGCTTATAGTCACTAGGAAAGGGGTTCTACTTGATGGGTCCTAGTCACTGCTATTTAGCTCCACGAGACTTGGATAATCATTTTCAAAAGGTCTTTAAGAAAGGCTGAGAAAGCTGCTAGCCTGGCTTTTAAACCACTTTGAGGAAGCAGTGAGGGTATCTACGTGGTTAAATTCACTCCCCTCGCCTGACAAAAGATCCCATGTCTTTCTTGGTTGGACCAATCCAACCAGCCATTTTCAATGAGTCTTTCTTCATTTATGCTTAGAAATCACATTGAATGGACCGGTAGTTAAATTAACCATTTATTTGTTGAAAAACCGTATTCGATGACAACGAACAATTAAAAAAAATCATAGGACTGTCGAATCGGAAAAATTGGGTGCTATCATCTTAAGATCAAAGGCTTTAGCCTGATTTTTTGGTCAATTCCAATGCCGATCTTACTCTCGCTGGAACTGGAGTTGAGAAAGAGGGCTAGGCCCTCAAGAGGGCTTTTAGGGATTAGGGAGGGTTGATTATAGAGCTAGAGGCAAATCGACCTTCCCTCTCATCTTAGGGTGAGGCCAATAGAAATATCATATTACCTTATTATTCTATTTAAGAAGCATTCTCTTGTAGCTGTATTTTTGGATGGCTGTGAGGTTCTCTATTTCAACTGTTTCTTTTTCCCAAAAGCACACGAAATATTTGATTCTGGTACACTCTTGGAGGATTTTCCTTTTACTATAAATTTCACTATTGCTGTTATTTTTTTATGAAGAGAATGAATTTTTTTTCTCGAATGACAAAAAAAAAAGGGTCGCCCTTGGAGCTTTCTATTTGATTGTATCGAAAGCCCCAATGAATTGGGATTTGCACGTTCCAGTATGATTACCTTGTTATGACTTCACTCTAGTCATTAGCCCGGAAAAGAGTAAAAATTTATTTATGTAATATCTAATTTTATTCAACATTGTATACCAAATATGCACTTGGTGAATACATTTCACCGGTTATTACTTAATATACATTTTTTTTTCGCTTAGCATCTGATTTTTTTAGCAATTTTTTAATTTTGTTGCAGATTTTCTCAAAATTATTAATAGAATTTTATGGAGGAAATTAAATTTTATTTAGAATTAATTAGTTACTTTACTTTGATCATTACTAACAATATTCTTTTGTTAATTTAACCATTTTCCTCGTATGAGACTCAAACACAGGTTACTAACGAAGAAATACATGGAAATGACTCTTGGACTGTAGCAAATTTTAACATTGACATTTGACCCATTAAATGAATAAAAAAATTAGGTTAAAATATAATTTTACACTAAAAGGGCGATTTTACCTCTTCCCTATACAGACTGTTTGAAAGTGAAATCTAACCGACCGACCTTTGAAAAAAATCGACGCCACAGTTGCCTGAAAAACTGACCGATCAACCACCGGCCGAAACCACCAACGTTCAATCGACGACCTGCACGTACCACCGGGCGCTATTCCAGTTGGTTTTGTTGCGCTCGCAGTTTATTATTTTGTTCTAGCTTTTGCATTCATTATTTTTACGTTTATTTGGTTTAATTAGATCTTCATGCATGAGTAGTTAGATTGTAGGTCATGATGGGGTGAAAATGTGAATTTTTTGTAATTTTTGAACTTCTCTATCGTCGACAATGGCGATTTCGACTTAGGGAAGATGACGACTGTGTGACAGTCGAGTCTATCCGACTGTTAACAGTCGGGTAGAGACAGTTAACAATTTGCACCGACTGATATATATATTTAATTTTTATTTGTTTTTTATCAATTTTTATAATTAATTAATTTTTTTATTTGATTAAATAGTAATTATGTTATTTATTTATTTAATTTTTATAATTGTCTTTTATTATATAATTTAATAATTGAATATTATCTAAAATTAACAATTTATTTTGTTCCTTTTATTTTTGTTTTTATGAAATAATCTTTGATTTTTTTTTTCAAATTTATTTAGATAATATAAATGTTCTTTAAATTTTTTAAAAATGTATTTAATTTG